CTGCTCAAAAGTAAAACCGCGGTTCCGAGATGAAGAACGAAAACAATAAATGAGCGATGAATCGCGGACGAAAAACAAAAAGACACTTAGAGGACGATACTACGACACCTACGCTCGTCCTGTCGGAACGGTTCTAAGCTCTTACGGATCATTAACTTCCACGGTGGCCTTACGTTAGGCTGCTTTGTCGAATTTCTTCGTCGGCGAGGTGAGGGCGGAACGCTCTCCCGGTGAGCTCGACTTCCTAGGTGCTGACGGAGACTGTGATGCCGAACGTCTCCGAGAAGACACTGCCTTCTTCGACGAAGACGTGGAAGGCGACTGCGAACGCTTGCGCGTACCGTCCCGCGACGCTTGGACTGGCGGAGGGGTCGTCGTTTTCCCGTCAGTTTGTTTATCGGGGGTGGCTTTGTGCACCTTCACGTGTGAAGGTGATCTCGTCTTATCACGCATAGGCTCCTTACTCGCCTTAGTAGTCGAAGACTTCGAACGAGAAGCCGAACGCCCCCCCCCCCGAGCGTGACCGCCGAGACTTCTTGCGCACCGGTGATCTCGATCGTGACCGCGGAGGAGAAGCCGAACGTATAGGAGACGCGGCGCGCGCCTTGAGCTTGCCTTTAGATCGTGGGGGTGAAGGGGATCGCTTGCGCGCCGAACTAACGCGGGACTTCTTCAGGAATGAAGAACTACGTGACGGAGACCGGGAACGCTTCGCGCGCACCTTCGACTTCAGAGGCTTGTGGGAGAGCTGCAGACGCTTATCGGGACGCTTGTCGTCCTCCGAACTCTCATCGGAAGTAGAAGACAGGCGCAGCGTTTTCTAACGGGGCGGAGGTCCTCGGAATCACTCCCGGCTTCGTCTTCTTCGTAGGTTGACTCCTCCTCACTCGCCTCCACCCAGACCGCGGTATAAGTACCGTCCGTACGTTCGCAGGCCGCATATCCCGCGGAGTCCGCTTCGGACGAGTCAAGAGAAGTTACCTTGGGTGTCCGAAGACGTTCCCGTTCACGTGAGAGCTTAGCCGTCATCTTCTGGAGGCGAGGGCAGTGGCTTAGCGCATGCCACACCCCTTTCGAACGATCTCCCACCCAATAGGGCTCGTGGCTCTCCTTCGACTTCATGTCCAGCAGAACGAGCGCTAGGGCCCGGTCCGTGAGCTGACTGTCCGGCTTCGAACTGTTCGGATCCAGGGCTCCGGTGTGCGCCAACAACTCTGTGATGGTCGTGAAGCCTCCCTCATCGATACGAAACGGTCTGAGAGCGTTCTTCACCTTACGCGTGTACGCTCCCGAGTCACGCGAGTATAGCTTAGACAGGTTGTCGATAACCGGACCGTTATAGGACTTGGCGTCTGGAGCGTTCCGACCAGGCTGCCCCCCCCTCCACAAATGAGACGGCGTCGGTGAGCGCAGCTCTCGAACACCGGAGAAAACCAAAGTAGCCCCAGGTCTCGGTGCAGATACTCAGAAACCAGACGCGCGCGACCACCGCCGCCATCTTGGCCGTACGACGCTGAGTCTGGGCGTTGGAGGTCTTCAACGGGACGTTTGTCTGTCAGTCCCAGAACTTGCAGCGGTTCTCAGTCCAGAAACGCCAGTGAGAAGCGTGCACGTGGGGATACTCTTACGGGTTGTACCACAAGTGAGATACCGGCCACGGATAAGCTAGCTGGTACGGTTCTTGATCAAGCTCGGCCGCCTCGTAATAGATCCTCTTCAGGTCGTCGACAATTAGGGAAGGAGTCGTGTCCGACAGCTTGAACGGTAACACGTACGAAGACCAAGGGTGACTCTGACGCTTCTTACCGGAGCGAGGACTCTCCGTTACCGTTTTCTTCTTCGTCGAACCGGAACTGACGCTCGTGAGCGGGAACCGACCGTCCTGCGTGAAGCGTGGGTGCCGAGGCGGCTTTCCGCGAGTAGGTTGACGAGACGGTTTGGCCATGATCACTATCGGTCCCGTCAAAACGTCCGCGGCCTTCCCCGTGTCGTCCAGGAATGCCGCAGCGATGTCGTCCAGCAACTCGAGGCCGATGGAGCTTGCGTTCGCGGCGAGGATGTCGCGCATGGTGACCCAGAAGTGCTCGTCGGCCGGAGTGTCGTCGTGGGAGGAGCCGTCGGAGTCGGACGACTCGACGCTCCAGACGGCCTTGCGTTTGCGGGGCGCCTTGCCGCGCGACATGCCCATGACGGGGAGGTGACGAAGAGGAAGGATGCTGGGGGGAAGCGTCTGGGGTCGAGGCAAAATTGCCGAATGAACCGAAAGACTGACCGTCGGTACCTGGACCTCCCGTTCCGTCTCTCCGGAAATTCCTGTGAAAACTGCGTATTGGGTGCAAGATGGACTCTCGCAAGAGAACCAGTGTCCTCCTTTCCCAACAACGGGACTTGATTGATGGTTAACGACTAAGACGGATGGGGATCGACCAACTTCGAGAAGGGTCATCTCGGGTGTACTCAGTTTCTTATTTGCTGAGCGTTCTCTCCTACAATGGAGCCTCAAGCGAGTGCTTTGTACAGGTACGCCCACTGGGGAGTTGTGGCCTGTGTACGTAGGCGCCGTAACGGTCTGGGTCCTAACGGCTCCTCTACGCAACGTTACCTGGGAGTTCCTGGTCCAAGTGTGGCGTGTGGTCAAGATGAACTGTGATATTTGTGGCGACTGTGCGTCGTTATACCGAGACGTGCTTCAAGCGGGCGAGCTTCGACAACTCCGACGTGCTACCTACGCGTATGGAGTATGGAGTGCGCTTTCCGCTGTGCCTCCCATCGTTCTGCTTAAAGGGAAGAAAAGTATGGTCGCTATGGACGGATGCTGCGGAGTTGTTGGATCGCCGGCAAGGTGACTTTCTCCGACTGCATCCCTGAAGTCCTCCTCCGTACCCGAGGTTCGAGCGTACGCTATTGGTAAGCTTTCTGGGACGTTTCCAAGGCCACCTGGATGCGCCTGTAGGCAGTGGAAGAGGCTGTCTGCTGGTTGGTACTACTATGCATTTCTCTGCTACTGTACGTACCAGTCAACGTGTTTGATCTGGAGGATTTCATGCTCCTGGGACCAGTGGGTGTTAAGGCAGTACTGTTATTCCTACTGGCCTTCAACTACTGCCTTGCGTGGACCGGCTGGAGTCTCGCCGACACACTTATCGTGGTGATCGCCGGAGTGATATCACACGCTTGTCGTCAGTATGACGTCTACGAACCGTCTCCCCTAAAGCGCTGGTTGAGCTAGCTCTTGCAAGTACTCGCCGGAATGCTTCCAAGCGCAGTGTTGCCGAAGCTCGAAACGTCGAACGTCTACGGGTCGACGACGACATCGAAGTGTTATATGACTTTCAGGCTGCCGACACCGACTTCATAAATGACGGTACCGAGGACTACCCTGAGGCGTTCCAGCCGCACATACCGGTCGAAGTGACTAACGACGAAGTGAATATGGCTAGCGTGAGGAGCGTACGCAGGAAATCCGTTCGCCGAGAACGGCAAAAAGAGAAGTCGGGGAGGATGTCCCGTAGCCGGGAACGAAGGGGTCATTCCAGGAGCTGTGCGTCCCGACGCGATGACCCGAGGTCCTGTGGCTACTCCTTGCCCCGCCGTCCCGTCAGGATGGTTCCCGTTGAGCTCGACGGCTCGCGTGCCCCACGCCGAGCCCGCTAGAGTGGTTCTATAAGGTGGTCCAAGGACGCTGATTCTCAGGCATCGTGGGACCAAGACACCTAGCGTCATCGAGTCCCTTCTTAGAGCCCCCTGTTGTCCCACGAGGGCGGACGACAGGTGAAGTGAACTCTTCGTTCAAGTGTAAGAGAAGTGGTGCTGTGTATGTGAGGAAGGGAAGGTGTTAGACCTCTCTTCCAGTTGGCTCTCAGTTTTATATTTCTCTCCTTTTACTCAAGAGGAAGACAAGTCAATAAACAAGCTTATATTCTTTTAAGTGTTCCTATCTACCAATCCGGCCACTGAACAAGACCGTACCCCCTGAACAGCCGCGGACTACCCGACCCTTGAAGGAGGAGGTATACGACATGTACATGTACTCGCAGGCTCCCTAACTGGGTTGTGCAAACAATGCAGTTTGGTGGCGGCGTCAAGGCACAATAGCGGAAACTTGCCTTTGCCTTTTCAATTAACATCAGGAGTTTAATATTTATTTTATTCATGAAAAAATGAAAAAGAAATCGTAAAGATTTAAATATTTCTTGTTATATGGTTTTTATGATGCTTTATCACGATTTCCATACGTGCACTGCTAACCCTCTACTTGTAGTATGTTAATACTATTAAGATGCATACAGACACACAATTAATCGTTAATAAAACCATATTAACGATCAAACTTGGGAGTCATAATACGGTACGCAGGAATCCTGCAGCAGTACTGTGCTTATCTTTGGTGTCTTTGCTTTAAGCGAACTGCTTGCCGTGAACCAAAGTATCGAGGTCAATCTTAAAGCGATTTTAGCCCGTTTATGACTCATCGCCGTAGGGCCAATGAGCACGAGCTGCGCTTAACCGTCATCAATCCGGTGGTGGCGTGACTGGCACGCCCGATAAAACGGGTACGATAGATTCCTAGGGCACCCGATTCATTTTCTGCTTTCGGCAGTTCGATCGGTTGCAGCAACTTAATCGGCTCATCTGAATTGACGCGCAGTTGATGTCTATCATGATTGGTTTCTGTGTCTGCCACTCAAATTGAAGAATTGATTGACGCAATGGAGACTGACGCTCGCTGTCCAACAGCGCAAACACCGACGCCTCGCCCACGCAAACCCCGTAGAGGTCAATGCGCTGTCAATTATGTGTGTGTGGCAGCGAGCACCACTCGATCGGCTAAAAATTCGTGCTCACGCCGTCCCGGTGCTCGAAGCACAATTTCGATAGTCAACTCTAAGTAGTGTCGCGTCTATGGACTCCAGTTACGAATTCCCAAGTCTATCAGGTTTAGGTCACAGAGTGATGGTCCCTTCAGATCTGCTGCTTAAGTTGAGCCATTTGCTAATCTGCGCGAGAGGCAGCAAAGACTGTTGCGCTTCCTGGTACCCGTCAACGCAGCCATGAGCGACGCCCTGTACGCGTCCGTGAAGCAGGATGATCTCGAGTGCAACGACGGCACCGCAAGTCGCGTGTTCTCGCGTGGTCCGGACTACGATGAGCGCCGCGAGCTGGTGAAGAAGTTCGTACTGGCCGCGCTCGTGGTGATGCCCTACCTCGTGCTTATCGCTCTCTTCGCGGGTGTAGGCAGCCCTGCCCACAGTTATACTAACACACCGGCTATTGCCGTGTCCGACCTGGCCAACCAGACGCAGGTGGACCGGGTGTGTGCCGGCCAGCGCTTGCAGAAGCTCGACATGCAGCGCAACGTCTACTACGATTCGTCGCTGTTGTCGCGTCCGCAGCGCTACGCCGCGCTAAAGCAGAAGGGTGCCACACTCTGGTTCACTGGCTTATCGGGGAGTGGTAAGAGTACAGTGGGTCGCGCTCTCGAGAAGGAGCTCTTGCGTCGTCGTCTTCACACGTACCGACTGGACGGAGACAACGTGCGCATCGGCCTCAACCGTGACCTCGGCTTCTCCGAGACCGACCGTGCCGAGAGCGTCCGTCGTGTGGGAGAAATGTCTGCGCTGTTCTCCGAGGCGGGCATCATCACGCTCGTGGCGCTCGTGTCGCCGTTTCGATCACGTCGCGATGAGGTGCGCGAGCTTCACAAGAAGATGAAGATCCCGTTCTACGAGGTATTTGTGGACGTGCCCGTGTCGGTGGCTGCTGACCGTGACGTCAAGGGTCTGTACAAGCGTGCTATCAAGGGAGAGATCAAGGACTTCACAGGTATCTCGTCGCCCTACGAGGAACCGCTGAACCCGGAGATCCACCTCAACGCTTCAAGTCAATTGCTCGAGGACGAAGTTAAGATGATCCTGGACAAATTAGAGACGGAAGGACTACTCACTGGTGTGGAGGACCCCCCAAGTGGATACCCTGGTGTGGCTGTGGCGGACGGTGGCAACGCTGTCGCCACGTTTCCGACCTTGTTCCCAGACCAGCCGAGTGTCTCGCGTCCAGACAACTACGACCAGCTGCCTCGTGTGCTTCTCCGCGCTGAAGACGTGCACTGGCTGCAGATTATCGGTGAGGGTTGGGCTGCTCCTCTGCGTGGCTTCATGCGTGAGGGTGTCTATCTGCAATCACTTCACTTTAGCAGTGTGTTGTACGACACGGACAACCTGACGGATGGCAACCTGGCCCTCCACAAATCCACCAACTTCTCTGAATACTCCAGCGAGTTCGTGTCCAAGGGCCAACGTGTGAACATGCCTGTGCCGATCGTCCTCCCGATCAACGACGCTGCAAAGGGACGTATTGGAGAGTTCAAACAGGTTGTGCTTGTGAGTCCGTCCGGCGAAGAGCTCGCTCTGCTGAACAACCCTGAAGTCTATGATCACCGTAAGGAGGAGCGAATCACGCGCACTTTTGGCGCAATGGACAACGGCCACCCGTACATCGCTGAAATTCTCAAGTCGGGCGACTATCTGCTAGGTGGCGAGATCGAACTGCTGTCTCGTATCAACTACAACGATGATCTGGACCAATACCGCCTGACTCCGACCGAGCTCCGCAATCGCTTTAAGGAAATGGGTGCTGACGTAGTGCTTGCCTTCCAGACGAGAAACCCGACACACGCTGGACACGCATACCTTATGAACAACGCACGGGAACAGCTGATCGCTCAGGGCTATAAGAACCCAGTGCTGTGGTTGTCTCCTCTTGGTGGTTGGACGAAAGAGGACGATGTCCCTCTTGACGTACGTGTGCGTCAACACGAAGCTATCCTCCGCGATGGAATGCTGGACAAGGAGAGCACTGTGTTGGCTATTTGGCCGTCTCCGATGATCTACGGTGGGCCTCGCGAGGTGCAGTGGCACGCAAAGAGCCGAAAGAACGCCGGTGCGAGCTTCTTCGTAGTTGGACGCGACCCTGCTGGTATCAAGCGCTCGGATGGCGACAAGGACGATATATACGCAGGCGATCACGGCCGCTTTGTGCTGCATATGGCTCCTGGCATGGAGGACTTCAACATCCTGTCGTTCTCAAAGGTGTTTTATGACATGCAGGACCACAAGATGAAACCGATGGACAGCAGTCGCAAGCAGGATTTCCTCTCCATCTCCGGCTCGCGTATGCGCAAGATGGCTCGTGAAGGTCTGCAGAAGTGTGAGGGCGACAAGATCCCAGATGGTTGGGAAGACAAGCCTACGTGTGTTCCTCAGGGTTTCATGGTCAAGTCCGGATGGGACATTATGATTGACTACTACCAGAATATCAACAGTCCGCGCTGGATTCCGTTTGCCACACAGTTCTCCAAGCCTGTCGTGGACATGTCGCGTTCGTTCTCGTCTGAGGGCACGTTTGGTCGCACCGACTACAAGCTCCACTTCAAGAACGAGAAGGGCGAGAAGATCTCCCCATGGCACGATATTCCACTGCATCCGGTTGACTCGACGGATAACAGCTCGTACAACTTCATTGTGGAAATCCCCAAGGGTATTGCACATAAGATGGAGGTGAACAAGGAGGAAAAGTACAACCCAATTATGCAGGACACGACACACAACGGCACTCGTGGACGCGACTATCTTTACGGCGTCCCATTCTTCAACTACGGTTTGCTCCCGCAGACGTGGGAGGACCCGAGCGTGAAAGACCAGAGTGGAAATGGAGGCGACAACGACCCGTTGGATGTGATTGAGATCGGTGCCAAGCAGCTGGCTATGGGCTCGGTGAATCTGGTCAAGATCTTGGGCAGTCTGGAACTAGTTGACCAAGGCGAAGTAGACCACAAGATTCTAGCGCTTTCTCTTGCTGATGCGGATGTCGACAAGATTAACAGCGTGCGCGACTTACAGAGTGTGAAGCCTGGCGTGTTGGACGCGCTGGTGGACTGGCTCAAGAAGTATAAGATCCCAGAGGGCAAGTCGGAGAACGTCTTCTCACAGGAGAACCCGACGTCTGCAGAGGCTGCGATGCAGATTGTAGCGGAGACACACGAGCGATGGCAGAAGCTCAAGGCAGGAGAGATTAGTGTTAAGGACGAGTTCTGGCTCAAGTCTTGAATGAATAAAAATGCTGTTGGAATAATGTGTCGAATGTGTTTGATTCTGGTCTTTCCGACTCGGCTTGTCCAGTCGCGTAAGGAATATCTAAGCAAAACTTCGGATTAGCAAATAATAGATTTCCGTGTGGATATTTTGAGATGCGGAGTCGCTATAGTCTATTTTTGGAGCGACGGTTCTCCAAAAACTACAGCTCTCTATTCTCTTGTTCCGGTATCCGCTATATGTATGGTGCATGTTTGGCGCCGCTGGCACCGACAATGGCATGGCTCCGTGTTGGCAGCGCTGCGTTCGTCTCGCTCTCGGGTCGACGTGTTGGCGGACAGGAAACAGCCTGCTCTCAGTCGCGTCTATGGCTGGATCATCGACCGCAAGCGCCGGAGGGAGGCTTGTCACACGCAGCGCATCGCTCTCCCATATGTTCCCGTGCTGAGTGTGGGGAATGTCACTTTTGGAGCTACAGGGAAGACGCCGTTTGTACAGTTCTTGATCGACTACGTGCTAAAGCAGGCAAAGGAAGGTCAGGTGCCGTTGCTGTTAAGTCGCGGATACGGCGACGATGAGTGGCGGATGCTGGCCAAGCAGTTCCCTTCCTGCCAAATGGCATTGGGAGCTGATCGTGTGGCGGTTGGAGCAGCTAAAGTCAAGCGTTTAGGAGGAGAATCTGCGCCATTGAGTTGCGTAGTAGTGGACGATGGATTGCAGCAGTGGAGGCTTTCAAAGGACCTAGAGATCGTCATGGTGGACGCTTTGCATCCGCTGGGTAACGGCCTGTTACTTCCGTTTGGGAGTCTGCGAGAGCTTCCACGCGAGGCATTGGCACGAGCAGACGTAGTGGTTGTACATCACGCAGATCTGCTCGATGGAGAAGAGCTGAAAATGCTCATGAACAGCTTACAGACTCTGTTGGCTCCTCAAAGGCATTCGATTGTTGCTACGTCACGAATGAAAGTGGTGGAGTTTATTCCTGCTGAGAGAATGCTGTCAAAAGAGAAGTGTGGCAGTCGCATTGAGGCTACAGTGGAGACAGAGGCACTACTTTCGGCCAATAACTCAATATTGGTCGTGTGCGGTGTTGGCAATCCCGAATCGGTCATGAAAGTGGTGGAGAAGCTGGCTCATTGGGCTCGAGTGGAGCTGAAAGCGTTTCCCGACCACCATGCGTTCACTTTGGGGGATGTCGACGATATTTTAGAGTGGGTGCGGGAGTTGCAGCAGAACGAAAAAATTGTAGTGGTGACTACCGAGAAAGACATCTTTCGATCACCTAGGGCTATGAGGATTCTCGCAGATAACGTGGAACTGCGAGTGCTTCGATGCGAGCTGGAACTACAGCACAACAGGGATAAAGTGAAGGAGCGTATTAACGCACTCTTGAATTTGGGGTAAAGCACTTGAGGACAGCAGGGTGAAATTCTTATGGTATCGACACATTAGGTGCCGTGCTTGGAATGTGCCGTGCTTAGTTGGCCTCCTTCTTGGCCTTGAAGCTGTGCTCCTCCAAATCGATAAAGTCCTCGTCCTCCTCTTCGTTATCGCTTTCCCCCCCTTCCTCAGGCTCGCCCACATTTGCTTCGCTCTCCTCATCCTCCTTCGTCTCCGCATTCTTGGCATACTTTTGTTTAGACTTGGCTCTACGACTTGCCTTCTTGCGCCGCAGCTTGACAATCTTCTGGCTACGCTTGCTTAGCACCCCGTTCACATGGTCATCCAACTTTTGCAGCAAGAGCTTGCGAGCGGCTCGACGGTTGCCGTCCAACGACCGCGTTTTCTGGCATTGCACTTGTAGCCCTGTGGGTACATGGGTCAACAGCACACAATTGCGCACCTTGTTGATCTTCTGCCCGCCTTTGCCTGATCATAGCAATTGAGTCAGTTAGTGCCCCCTTTAAAAACAATAGAGCAGCCGCACCGGAGCCTTTCACGAACGACTCGGTCACGTCACTCTCGTTCAGCTGGACGTCAATGCGCTGCTTGAAGTGGTCAACGCTGAACTGCCGGAAAATATTATGCAGTGACAATGTGGACGAGGATTGCGTCCAAGCCCTCCTACATGTAGATGCTGCTGTGCACACCCAACTTGCGAACATTGACGCCACTAAAGTGAGCGTAAAATTGGTCCTGAATCACATAAAATGGATCCACCAAAACTCTGCTCGGATGCACAGATTCGTAAATTCTGTGCGTACAAAACGGTAATACAGTAGTATTATCGGGAATATCGGGATAGCACGTGTAACGGGGTACGTAGCCCTAAGTGTACCCTGGTTACATGAAGTGTGACACTTCACACTTCAGGAGTATACGTGTCATACTCCGGGATATTTGGTACAAGGTACCAAAGTCGTTCAAAGCCAACCATTGGTTAAATGACATTGCATTTCTATAGGTAGCTTATAGTTTGTATTAAACCCAAACTTAACCTCCCTATAAATATACTCAGTTTACAATCTACCTTAAATAGGTCACTTCGCTCTCTTTAATAAAAGAGGGGACCTGTGAACTGCCGTTCACCGAGAGTTTGTATACTCTCGGAAGATAACTTCCTCTTGCGCAAGGTGTTGTGTGACCCCGTCACACTTGGTAGCACTTGTAGTCAATCCACGCCATCGCGGGTAGACTACCTGAACCTCCGAAGTTCGTTGCCATGGATAGGAACGACTTCTCCCATTTGAACGACTCTCAGTTCGAGTCGGTTCGGAAGATGGCAGGCATCTTCGGGATGGAGGCCCTGCAGAGCCTGGTGGTGTCAACACCGGCTGAGCAGCTCGAGCGCGTCAATGCATTCGACGCGTACGAGCAGGGCCTCATCGCGCATGTGCGGGAGAACCTGCAGGCTCCGGTGGCGGAAGCAAATCCGCCTCACCCGAAGCCAATACGGCTGAAGGTAAAGCCGTATGAAGGGAAGGAAGGCGAGAACCTTCACTTCTGGGTCCGAGAAGTAGAGCTCGCGATGGACGCGGCTCTGATCTCGACCGAGCAACTGCGTGTTGCTTTTGCACTCTCCAACCTTAGCGGTCGTGCTAAGAGTTGGGTGTACACTCGGGAAGCAACATCCCCTGGATGTTTCACATCCTGGGCGCAGCTGTGCGAACAGCTCCGAGCCGCGTTCCTCCCGGCGAATTACGAGTACCGCCAGCGTTCGCGCTTCCTCGCGTGTAAACAAGGAAGGCGCGAGCTGCACGAGTATGTGCAAGAGATACGGGAGCTCACGGCGTCCCTAGTGGGAAACCCACTCAATGAACACATCAAGATGACTGTGTTCATGGACGGCCTCCGAGTGGGCCCCGCACGCACTCAGCTGTTCCGGGTGCAGGCAAGCACCCTTGAAGAGGCGATTCAAGTGGCTCTTCAAGAAGAGTACAGCCATCGCCAGGCGCGTACGCCGGCCTCAGCGTGGCCTGGGGGCTCCTTGTCGGCTCCCGGTCGAACAAGCCCCAACGGACCAGTTCCCATGGAACTCGGGTCCGCCGAACAGCGTGACATCCGCTGCTTCGGCTGTGGGAAGATGGGCCATTTCAAGCGTGACTGCCCCGCGGAAAGACTCCGCAGACGGTCCTTCCCCAAGCCCGTCCTCAGGGGTCGCTGGCAAAAGCCAGGATCCCGGGGACAGGGGAACGCAGGGAACCTGTAGGGGCGGGGCGCCCTACTGGGGAAGAACTAAGTCTTCGTGATGGGTGCGCGGGTGGCGCGTACCACGGGGACTTAGCCCCTGAGAGTCTTCGCACTCTCGAATCGGCGAAGAGCAGCGGCGGGTTGCCCGTAGTACACGGATGTGTACGGGGATACGATCATCCCTTTAGAATCTTGATTGACTCTGGGGCGTCGAAGAATTTCGCACGCCGCCAGACGGTTGTGTGGTGTAGTGATTTCTCCGTAGTTGCGGATTATCACCCGTCGACAAAGACGTGACACCGCCCAAGATGTTCAAGCGACGAACCCTCGGTCAGGTGATGTACGGAGACGCCAAGGTGCCAGGGACTCGACGGCGTCACCTCCGAACGTTCAACGAGTATTGGATACGGGCATATGTCACTGAATCCAGGCTGTCCTTATTATTAATAATGGACTGGCCGGATTCGCACTCAGCGGACCATCTACGGTACGAACCTTCAGTGGCGGTTGGGATGAGTTCGCAGAAGACTCAGCGACCCTTGGAAGGCACTTTCACCGTCTGGGACAGGGCGCGGACCGTTAAAGATGCTCATGCGACAGTGCAGACGACGCTTGGCATGCAAGAAGATCTATAACGGATTATTGTTCACTTGATATTTGTATACTTGATTAGGACTTCTTATTAGGAATAGACCCGAAAGGGTAAGCTTAAATACAGAACAGAATTTCCACTCAAGCACACAGAGCGACGTCCGGCTTCAAGGTAAGCGTCAGGTCAAGCTTGTTTGAGTGTGTTATGCCTGTCGGTGAACTCGAAGCTCTGTAGCGAGGGTTCATCCGGCAAGGCCAAGAGACTGTGTATTTTGGCCGATTATTATCGGGAGGTTTTACGTGACGGCTTATTGTTGCCTATTTGCACAACTGGGAGTGCTTAAATTGCCTCCCTTTTATTTCTTCCAGCCGAGTGTTGAACACTCGGTGATCTCGTAAAAGGCTTACCCGTGCCTGGTACCCTTACGCTGTTGGGACCACGAGGATTCAAAACACCTGCTAGCTTTGCTCGTGCTAGTAGCGTGTTCTTATTTTACTGGTCGGTCTATATAAGTAGTTTACAAGGTCCAGTTTGTCCCGGTGCAAGGGCAGAACTGGGGTATTCAGGTCCGCCCGAACGATCGTTTACTTTCCTAGTAGAAGTATTGTTGTGGGAACATCCTAACTACATCTGTAGCTAGAGTTCACGTGGGATTTCCAACACCACAACTGGTGCCGCGACCCGGGAACAGATTGTGACCGTTGTGAACTGTTTGTATGGCCTTCCAGTTTACGAGCTACCAAGAGAAGAAGAACAAGAAAAAGACAAAAAATATGGCGAAAGGACAACCGACGGTACCAGTTACGCCTGCCAAGTCTGGCGGGGCTCGCAACGAGAGTTCAAGCCCGGCTGCGCGCTTTGCAGCCGCCACCGAGCTTTCAGTGAGCTTCGACGACGAAGCGGACATCGGTCCTGACGCCCATGATTATGAAGATTACGTCGACAAGACGCCGGCTCCAGAGCCAGGCGCAGCGACGCCGGAGACGGCCACGCTATCATCGGGGCTGAGCGGGGCGACCAGGTCCCTTTCGAGGAACCTCGCCGACGAGCTCGATGATGTTGCGGGACCAGAACCAGCCTACGATGATTATGACGATGGGACCGAGGGTTCTAAACCTTCGGTGGCAAGTGCAAAGCATTCAGCACTGCTGAAGGCACCTCGCCCACCTATCAACGGTGATACACCAGCCGCCAAGCGCGATTTCGACCGCGTACAAGCGCTGATGCAGAATGATGAGTGGATGCAGCTGTTCAAGCCCATCCCCAAGAAAAAAGCCGACTGGCCTGCGCTTGCGCAGGAACTTCAATACCCAGTCAACTCGGTTTCGACTAGCCAAGTTGCCGAGGATTCAGTTTCGCTACTGTTGTCGCTGGGGTTTGAGAACGAGACGTACCCATCGACGATGTCGCTCCAGGATTGGAGTCCACACGAAGCCGGAGCTGCTCTCCAGAAATGGAAGAAGAAGCTTCGGAAGGCGTTTGGCGCTGTTGGCATCAATGCCGGAAAGCAGCCTGTGAGTCGACCGATGATTCAAGATGAAGATCCGTCCACGATTCCACTGCCGCCGACGCCCCAACGACTCGATCGTACTCCTCCGACCAAGCGTGGAGCTGAGCGTGGTGCCTTTGGCACTACCGAAGCTTCACCGTACTTTCAAGACTCGCACATGGTTACGCCACGTTCGGAGAGCCGTATGCAACGTATTTACGCAAGTAACAAGGGTTCGCTCGGTCGCCGAGGCGGTGCGCGAGCTCCCAAAGGTGGTGCCGGACGTCGTCAAGTCGACAGCGACGGTTCGACAAGTGACGATGACATTTTGGTGCGTACATTCGACGAGGAAGATCCTCAACTCGAGTTGATGCGTCAGATGAATGAGCTAGCGATGCTGAACGACGTGGACCCAACACCGAGGATTGAAATGGCTTCGCACCGACCGCCGGATCGCATCACGCCGTTCTCAGGCTCTCGCAACAAGAGCGAGAACTGTATGCAGTGGCTCCGTGGGTTCGTCTATGAAATGACTGGAACCCACACAGATCCCGATAAATGGTGCATTCCATTTGAGTTAAGTATCCGAGACGGAGCCATTCATTGGTTCCGTCAACTTCCGAAGAAGACGAAGCGCAAGTGGAAGCTGCTGAGCGACGCGTTCATCCGCTACTACTGCTCGCAGTTCACGCA